GCCTTTAGGCGCCCCACCGCTATCATATCTGCGCTTGTGACGCCCTGGGACATCGCCTTTCGTCAGTAGCCTTATTTTGCTTCAACTAACTTGGTGCCCTATCCAAGTTCAAGGTGCAGGATCAGAACAGTGTTCAGACCCTAAACCCTAAACCAACCCTAAACCCTAAATTCTCATGCGGGCCATGGTCATTATTCTTTTATGAGGGCCTGCGCATAATTTCAGATTTTCCTGATCTGCCGCGGCGGCTCGGTCCTGGCCAAGGGGCAAGTTGAAAACATAATGAATCACAGGACTGCTGCAATTTTAATAGAGACCGTGAAGACCCAAACATGCCGGCTATAGTAAGGCAGGTAGCACAGCAACCTAGCAAGCTACGGGTCACGACAACTTGACCAAGAGAGAGAATACTCGTCATACAGCAGGCGTTAACCAAGCATGAGTGACATGGATAAACAACAACCGTGAGCATCGTCATTGCCTGAAACCGCCATGAAGTCTGCCGGATGTATTGAGTACTGCAACGGCCACTGCGCCAATCCTACTAGATGCGGGGCATGCTACTTCCAGCGGAACAGGCAGCAGCTGCAAGATCGGTTTCCATGGATAAAAGCTCACGCAGCTCCTTTTCGAGTTGGCTGTTCTGTGTGTCAGCAGCTGCCAGCTGGCAAGAAAAGCACAGCAGACTCGTGGAGATTGGGTGAGATTTCTTCATATGATGCTTTGCAAATGCGTAAGCTTGAGAAGCATGAGGGCAGCAAGCTACACCAACATGCGTTGGACAGACATGCGGATGTCTCAGAAGCTCGTGCGCCTAGCGTGCTGGACTTCACAAGATTAGCGCAGCACATGCAGAAGCAATGCTTTGGCAGGGATGGACTTCCAGAAGTAGGTGGACAAAAGAAGTGCAGGAAAATGGCATTTTGCCTGGCAGAAGTTTTCCGCGAATCTAAGCGGGATCTTTGGCGGACAAAGACTGGCCTGGACGGCCAACCCTTGCTTGTGAGCACCACTCTCTTTCAAGATGCCCGTAAGGGAAGATTGGCTGTGCGGTTCACTGCAGCCAGCTCCGCGGGAAGCAAGATTAGTGGCCACGTGGGGTCCGTGCGATTGTCCGACGGTTGCGATTCTGTGTCCCTGATGGAAGCAACAATGAAGATCATTCGCAACTTTTGTACTCCGTGCGCAAACATCCCTCACCTGGAGTCACTGCGCGGCACTGCAAGTCCCATGGATCAGGGGCTCTTTGAAAAAGTGAAGGCTTCCATTGAAACCTTTGTTTCGGATTCTGCAAGCGATGAGCTGAGAGCTGGTTTCATGCTAGCAGAGCAGACCACTTCTGGGTTCATGGTGGAGACACTGCCTCAGTTGAAAGTGGTCATGAGAGACCGCCCCCATGCCACACGGCGCAACCTAAGCAGAAACTGGAAAGCCGACCCGTTTCTCGATGAGGTGGCCAATGCATTCCTCTTCGCGGCGGATTCCCCTGTACGCATGATCCAGTACTCCCATATCTTCCGCGATTGGCTTTGCGAAAACATCCGGAGGCAAAACCCCGACTTGAGCTGTGTACAAGTGAACAATCACGTGAAGAATTTGAATTTCGCGCCGCACAGGTTCGAATCCACGGCTGCGCCGTTGACACGGGTTGTATTATTCTTTCCAGCCTTCCTACAGACTGTGAGTAAGATTGCACTGCAGCGCAAGGCAGAAGACGCAGGCAAGTCTGCAGCCAAGTTTTTGAGCTGGCTTGACTATGAGCGGTGCGTTCAGCTGGCAATGCTGGGCGACTGTGCCATTGAAAACCTCGAATTGACGAGGTTGGTAGATTTCGAGGGGTTCCCTGTCGAGGACTTTCCCGGTCAGCTGATTTCGTTTAGGGCGCGGATCAGGTCCTTGTTCACTGGTGATGCACCGGCCTGTTTGGACACCGGCTTGACCCGTCACATGCTCAAAATTCTGGGGAAGCGAACGATGGCCTTCAGTATTCCCTCTTCACGCGGTGTGGATGTCGTGCAATTCACGCCCACGGATGAGCGCACTGCAGCTTTGACAGTGGGAAAATGCCTCTCGCGAATGTCAGGCTGGGTAGCACTGACTGAGAGAACATTGGAGGCTGAGTTCCCTCACTTTGAGACGCAACAGTCCTTCAAGATTTTCAGCTTGTCCGCTGCCGCGGAACGACCCAATGGATCCCATTTCTGCCGCTCCAAAGACTTGTCTAGGCTTCTGAAAGCATATCGCTTGCCAGAGCCTGATCTGCAAGCAAATATCGCTGATCAAGCAAGCCGATTGTGGTACGTGGCCAGACGCACCGCCATGGAAGAGAAGCTGAACAGTGTAGATTGCTGGATCTCAGCCGTGAAGCAGACCACCCGCACGAACACACCGCAGACCCGAAGCTCTGTCGCGGCGGTTCTACCCATCCTGGTGAGGTACTGGGCAGCGGGTGCCAGCACATCAGGTGTGGAGCAAGCTTTTAGCCGTTCCCAGCAATTGACTGACAACTTGATGATTGATGGGCACATCGATGATGTTCTTGAGGCATCCCTGGTTCCTCGAACTCCTTCAGATTTCAGGGTTAATCCAAGCTGCGGCGGGTGACAGTGAGGTTCAGGGTTGAGGTTCTGTTGAACCAGAATCAATGTCAAAGATTTCAGAGTGGCATTCCTTGCTTTCTGCGCTGAGCAGGTAGGTCGCTCTACAACAAAAGCTGAGCAAAGCTAGTTCGGAAGTGCCTTGACAGCGACGTTCGATCAAATGTGTGGCAACTTGAGCCGCAAGCTGTTGCGGTCTGTGTAATACTGAAACGTGATCATGCGTCTATCAATTATTCAGTTCCATCATGCTTTTCACAGCTGGCCTTGAAACCATAAACAGAAAACTGAAGCCTTTCGAAGCTTAACTCCGCAGGTCATCGACATACCCCCAGCAGAGCTGCAGATAATTGCCCGGAAGGCGGCTGCTGTGTGGTTGCAGGTCTACGGCGCGACAAGGATCTCCGGGTCGGCTCATCGCGTGAGAAGGGTGGACAAAGGAGTCCCGCGCAAGGAGCCTGAAGGACGTGCCAAGCCTTCCATGGCTGGCTGGTTGCGTCACCGACATGAACAGGTTTCCTGTCGTTCAGCCGGAAGTGTCCCGGAGCCGGAGAGTGCCGTGAGCATTCCTGCTGAAATCCGAACGCCTGGACATGATCGAGAACTTGAGCACTTGAAGGCTGCGGGCTTGATTCGGGATTCTCAGTGTGACTTTGATTCCCCACGGTATCAATTTACTTACACCTGTCGATGTGACGTCACTCTTAAGTTATCAGAAGACGCCCTTTCAGGCGAAAGGTGTCAAGCGTATGGTGGAGGAAGTCCGCGCTGGTCGGGGCGCTGGCTTGTTAGACTCCTTGGGCATGGACGACTTGCAGCTGGTGCTGGACGGATTGCAAAAGAAGGCGAAAACGGATTCAGAGTACGTCAGGGACCGTGCAAGGAAGAATGCCCTGGCGGCTCCGCCCACTTCGCCAGACTTGGAAGCAGCCCCCGTGCACGTATCGGAAGCCTTGCGAGATTCGGCAGACATCCAACAAGCTCTTCAGAGGAAACATGCTGTTGTCGTTTGCCTGGAGGACGAAAGTGCACGAAAGTCTTTGCTACGAGATGCTTTCCCGGTGTTGGTAATTTCTGCTTTCCGTCTATTAAATCTATGACAGGATGCCCGGTTCTTCATTGAGCAAGACGCCATGGTCAGCAATCATTTGCTGCACTGGAATGTTGCATTGTGCGGAGGGTCTATTATCAGCAGCGCATTCCTCACGCATGGACGAGGACTCGGGCAACTCATCATTCCCTCTGTCCAATTCCCATTGGTGCACGATGATTGATATCTGCACAGTTGAATCAAATCATCCTAGACGGGCCATAGTCCGAATTCCCCAGACGTCGCCTTGAAATTCAAGTTTAGCCCGAGGACCAGTCCTGAGCTTCAAGAATGCCATCACGTCTCAAAGACTTTTGTGGATGACGGATGCCTTCGCTACTGCCCACGCCAGGATCGCGCATACGATTGTAGTGAGGCCAGTTTCTGAATTTAAGTAGATGAGATTCTGGCGCATATTGTTATTGCTGGTGCATATCATTATAATCAATTAGTCTGTGCATTTGCGCAGGTCGGGAGCGCCTGGCAGCAAATGGAGGCTCGCGCGAGATCAAGCCCATTTCTGCCAACGCAGCGTCAAGGACATCCACAAGTGCATTCTTCTATGCGTCGACGCAGATAAGGGACTGCAGGCCCGGAGGCTGAAATTGGTGTTGCCGTGCTCGTCGTTTAAGTTTCGTGTGACATGTCTTATGGGCGGTCGCAGGTCTGGAGTGGTGTGCGGCAGAAGTTCAATTGTGCAGAAGCTTTAGACTTCGTCCTGCACGTGGATCCGACGAAGACCTTGACGGGAGCATGTGACTGAACGTGCCACAGAGGTTTCAAGTTTTCAACTTGCTGACGCGGGTCAGGGCCCGGATTCGTCCAGAGTAGTTTAGTGTATCCAACTAATCAGTGTTATTGAACCCGCGTCCTCGAAAATCCGCTTGAGGCGACTCTGGGGTTGCGCCCAACGTTCATGGAAGCCTGCTGCAGCAGCATGCCCTGCTTGTTGTTGGGTTCACGGCACAGTAGGTGTATGATGCGGTCTTGCATAGGGGAAAGACAGTGGGAGAGAGAGAGAGA